ATGTCATCCTTAGGCAGGTCTGGGCCGGGAAGGCAGGATGACTGTTGAGCGAATGAACAATTAGGTGGGAGTATAACTGTCATCAAGTAGATATGGTAAAAAAAAATTTAAGATTATATATACACAGTTGATTTTCATCCCCACTTTAATGAGAGACACATAGGTGTGGCTAACATGACTATTTTTGGGTGTAGCTGATTCATTTGATGTAGCTGATTTATTTTTGGGTGTAGAGATATTTGTTGATGTATTTTGGGCAAGTCTTGAAATATAGCAGTTTGAGCATGAAAAGTACAGTAGATTGATTGGCCACCATATCAGTCTTTAATTTCTATTAATGAAAAGGACTGTATTTAAGTTCTTTTCTGCCACATAAGGAAAACAAAGTCAAATTATGAGATAAAATGTTGAAATGATGAGATTTGACTTTTATCTCATAATTATGATTTAGCATCTGACAATTTCAACTTTATTTATCATAACTATGACTTAGTATCTCATGTTGACATTTTATCTCATATTTATTAATTATTTTATCTCAATTTATGTCAAAATTGTTTTTGTCCTAATTTCAGCTTTTTGTGTCATAATTTCAGTTTATGTTATAATTATGACTTTATATCTCATAATTATCGTTATGTCGTAATTTTTTACTTTTTACTTAATAATTATGATTTACCAAAGTTGTGGATGGGCTTCCATACAAAAACACTATTTGAAAACACATCTCCATCTCTTTCTGGTTGATTCCCATACTCTCTCTCACACATACTTCTTCCACCCTGTTTACATGATCTTTCACCGGCTTCTATTTTGCATAGAACTGTCAAGTGATACTATGCAGCTTTGCAGTTTGCATATGTACATACGCACACACGCACAGGTTTGCTGGAAGGACCTCCCATTCCCTGGAAGGCAAAAACAGAAATTTATTTTCATATTACAGCAGCTAAAGACAGTTTCAGTGCCTTTGACTCTGTACTGCACTGAGCCTCAGAAAAATAATTGATAATGAGAGCACTCTTGATTTTGCACATAACACTGGTATTGCAAATAATTTGACATTTAAAGGAATAGCTCATCACTTCCATGATAAGACTGACAGACTGCAACGGTTTGAGTTAAAAATCTTTGTTTGTGTTCTACTGAAGAAACAAAGTCACCTACATCTTGGATGCCCTGGGGGTAAGCAGATAAACATCAAATTTTCATTTTTGGGTGAACTATCCCTTTAAGAACGAGTGGTTTAAAATAAATAAAATAAATAAATAAAAATGATAAGGGACATTTAGAATTATTAAATGAATCATACAAATAATTTGCTGTCTTTCATAATATTGTGGATGTTGGAGTTTTGCAGATTGACTGTCTGAGCTCATATTCAGTAGTTTATTGAAGCTAGATAACTCACCTGTGAGATCTGGATTTCTGTTCACATCCAATTTGATTATAAAGTTACTTGATTAGTTACCAAAATCTTCCACGTATCAGTTGTCTTAAAAGGAATAATTCACCCAAAAATAAAAATCTACTAAAAATGTACTCACCCTCAGGCCATCCAGTAAAAAAGTTGTCTTGTCTGAATCAGGTGAGAAATACGCACAGATCAACCACCAAGGGAAAACAGTCCAAAACAGTATTAAACAAACATGCTGGTTGGATTTTGATGTGGGAGGATGACAGGTGATGGACTTTATCACTGGAGGAAGCAGTCTCTCTACTGACGGCACCCATCCACTGCAGAGAATCCATTGGTGAGCAAGTGATGTAATGCTGAATTTATCCAAATCTGTTCTGATGAAGAAACAAACTCTACTCTACTCTACTCTACTCTACTCTACATCTTTTATGGCCTGAGGGTGAGTACATTTTCAGTAGTTTTTTTTATTTTTGGGCTTAATTATTACTTTAAGCTTTCCACTCAGTCCATAATGTGTTTTGTAACAATGGATCAATGGTCACATAACACTATAATGCAAAAAAAGTAATGCAGCATGATAATGAAAAATAACTTTATATTATACACCTCACCTTATGTTATACAAGTTAAGGTGAGGAAAATATTATGACCTTATGGTTGTAGTATCCTCTTCAGTGTTGAACCAAGTCACAATGCAAAAAAGCGATTAAGGCTGAAATCAAAATGTGGTTTTTGAACACCTACACAGGGCCCTTTAAAAACCAATATCATCAAGCATCACTTATAGCACATTCCTATCTAAAATGTGTGCAAGAGCTTGCTGCAAAGGGCCCTTCACGATGACCTTTACGCAAGTGCAGCCACTGGACACTTTCCACCAGACCTTGATAAACTTCCATAATTCTCCACACAGGCTATGCACTTGAAATAAAATCTGTTTGGACAAAATAATGAAACAAAAAATACATACATAATAATAAAAAACACAAATTGTCTCCTGTCCTCTGCATCTCAGTTGTACATCCCTATTTCCGGTGCCCCTTCAAAAATATCCTTTTAAAGGGGTTCTCTCCAAGTAGGCCTAGGGATGACTACTTTCAAACCATTGAACCTTTAAATAAACACCGTTTCACAGCACCCATATCACATCTATCATACACTCTCTCTCAAGTTCTCTATCCTAATCCACACATTTGCATATCCTGTTGTTGTAAAACTAGAAACTCACTCAATGTTTAACTTTACTATCACAAGGTTAGAAGGCTGCGCCACTAGAATTCCAGCTGTGATAATATAAAAAAAAAAAACAGACAAAAGACAGAGAAAAGTGCGCGCTCACACTCACACGTTCACTCACGCAAACACACACTTACAGGTGATGTCACTGCGCACTCTAGTGGCCACATGGTCTCACTACAACATCGTGCTTTAATAGAACACTTGATATTTAACTTATACTGCTTACAAAATTTGCAACATATGTAGGCGAGACCGGGACTAGTTGCCACACTTTTTACTACAGTGAATATACAGTGGATTTATTTTATTGATAGTCAATTTCTGTGAAATAAATCGTCACCTTGGAATTATAAGGTTCTAGCTGCCATTTTTGTCAAAATTGAGTTATTCACATATTCTTATTCTGTGACAACTTATTTACATTATGTGATGAAGTTTAAAACTTGTGTTTTATCAATGCGAGATCTCATTCAAAAATAAATAATCACAAACAAACAAACAAACAAACAAACTACATAGTCCATTAAATCTCATTTATTGAAATATAAATCTTTTCAATGTACATGGACATTATGCATATTATAGCAAAAGAATAACGTCTTTTTAAGGGAATAACTACCTAGAATTACACATATTGTACCATAGAATATACTTCATAACTCTCCTCCTTTCCCCTCTTCCTGCACAACAAGAACATTCACTCCACTGTCTCTTTAGAAATCATTTACCTTCCATTTTAAGCATAGACACATTTCGAAAGTCTACACACACACACACACACACACACACACACACACATAAGAAAAGCAGAATAAAGAAATACTAAAATATTTTTTTTAAAAAGAAGAGTTTTAAAAAGTGCAACAGTTTTAATATATATCTCCTCTCGACATGCCCGTGAAACAGACCACAGTAGAGGGTGAAGATGAGGGCAGGCAGTGATATGCTGAAGTCCTGATACACATTTACAATGAACAGTGATGTATAACATCAAAGTAAAAAATCTAAATGATGTGTCACTAAGATGCGTCAAGACTACAGGATTTGGCTATGTTTAAATCTACACCATGATTTTCAATTGCTTTGTTTTAGGGAGGTCACATGAATCTTCACAAGCAGCAAACTACCATGTCTGTCAGGGCATGATTATCTCGATTATCTTATTTGGTTTAATGCTCACATATAAAATCCAATGAACAGGAAGGTAAAACTTGGAGCAGAATCTGAGGAAACAGAAAAAGGTACCTACTTTTAAACATGAGCAAGTAATTTCACTGAATCGCAAAGTCTTTCTTCATTACTACACTGGAGTACATTATTCAAAAACTATGATGTGTGAAACTTCATGAAATAAGCCATTTCATTTGAATCCTCTTTTACAAAAGCATAGCTTTGAAAATCAGCAATGCCTCAGACTGACAAAATAGATATAAAATCAGAAAGTTCGGTAAAAACTTTGGCCAGACATAAACATGTTTTAAATAGTGACATATCAGCATCTTACAAAGGTTGAAGTCACTAAAATACATGTGACTCACAGGTCAAAACACAGTTGACCTTTTTTTATTATTTAGGACTATAATTTCTCCCTACCCAACCCAGTATTCACAAATAATATATCCACACTATCCAAACAAAAACTATCCAGTACAAAAATAAAATTCAAACTGCCACACTTATTGGGACATTGACGATATATGAACAGTTACATTAAACCTATATGTGCTGTTTAGTTGGTGGACTAAATCCTGTAAAATTGTGGGAGTGAGGGGAAAAAGTAGGCCTGATCCAAAATAGAGGCCATTTTGACTCAGTTGTGCTGGTTTTTAAATGTCTATAGTGGTTTTTTGTAGCTCAGATGGATTCATTTTTAGCAGTTGTGAAACCACTCAGGCCATTGATATGATTATAAATGACATGCTTATATTGCTGTTCGGAATGCCCGTCAAAATAAAGATCATACAATCCACTCAAACAATACACAAACACAATGCAAACATACAGAAATGATATACAAAACAAATATGTCCTCCACTTCGCCTCCTCATTGGTCTTTGCTCCAGTAGAGTCACTTAAACACTCACTGAGGCTCATCAAGAGCTCTCATGGAGTCCTTTGGTGCACTGCTCATTCCTCCAGACCTGTAGAGGGCGATGTCTAATCCCAAAAAAATCTATGACATTCATGCATCAGTTTTTTTTTTTTTCTGAAGGCTCCAGGAAAGTGAATTGAGGAAAATATGGCAGAAGGATGCAGAGAGAGAGATCTGTGAACTTGGAATGAATCAGAGGAATGTTTGTCTCTCTCTCTCTCTCTCTCTCTCACACTCTTTGCAGCTTTCACTCACAGGAAACTATCCTCTACCATTTCTCCTGAGTCCAAGCACATCTCGTCCAGCAAGGTGATGTCCTCCAGGGTCTCTCCCTCACGCTTCGTCATGGAGCTGCTAGAGCCTGTCTCTATTGCGCTTTCCTCCGACGTCTGAGAGCTACAGAGAAAAAGAGAAGACAATTCAGCAATTCAAAGACTCCATGGGCATGACTTTGTTGAAAATGCAAATGAACATTAAAAATGCAAATTTAAACAAAAAGAGCAAACACTAATTTATATAAATATTTTTTTTTCCAGAATAAATTTTGCTTGAAAATATATTTTAAAATGCAATTTATTCCTGTGATGGTAAAGCTGAATTTTCAGCAGCCATTACGCCAGTCTTCAGTGTCACATGATCCTAATATTTTCTTATTATTACCAATGTTGAGAACAGTTGTGCAGCTTAATATTTTTTGTGGAAAGCATTCTACATTTTTTCAGGATTCTTTGCAAAATAGAACGTACAAAAGAGCAGCATTTATTTGAAATATAAATATTTTGTAACATTGTAAATGTCTTTACTGTCACTTTTGATCAATTTAATGCATCCTAGCTGAATGAAAGTAATAATTTCATTAAGAAAAAAAAAAAACTTATTGACTCCAGACTTTTATTGATAGTGTATATGTCCAAAATCCTTATGAATCGTCATCCTAACATCAGAGTGAGAATGTTATGTAAATTGGTGGGCTACCTGTGGCGGTTCCTTTTGCTATAGTCTTCATTTGACAGTGGGTCGAGGTCCGGCAGAGGAATGATGTAACCGCTGTCAGAGCTGAGTCTCTGTTCATCAAAGCCGCTCTCGCGGTCCTTTAGTTTGCCCTGGTTCTTGTAGAGACCACCCATGTACGCATCATCATTGTCAGTGCACTGCACCCGAGTCACAGCGGGGTGATCGCTTTTCAGGAAGTCATGATTCACGCGTTCGTAGCACTGCACACCAAGAGAAATATAAATACAATATAAAAAGTTATAATAAAGCAATAAGCCCCAAGAAGCCGTGGTTTACAGTGAATTTATAACAGCTAAGGGCCGTTGTTAGGCACGACCCCCTTAACTGTTATAAATTCACTGTAAACCATGGCTTCACGGGCTTATTGCTTTTATAAAACAGTTATTTCATGTACGTAGTAAGGTTTCACAGAATAAAACAGAGCAAATAAAGTGTAAAGGCCCGTTCACACCAAGCACGATAACTATAAAGATAACGATAAAGATATAGTTCTAAAAATCTTTCTCAATATTAAAGAATAGCATAGTTCACACCACAACTATAACGATAACGATACAGAGGAACGATATCGTTGGAATCACTTTCAAAACGATTTTTTTCCAGCTGATGAACGATAAAACGAGCAGACGAGCGTGCGCTTAGAATAAACAGACGATATCGTTCGCTGGTGTGGACGCTAATATCGTTATCTTTATAGTTATCGTTCTTGGTGTGAACGGGGCTTTACATATGCGTTTTCTTTCTCATCTGTTTACGTTCACTTAAGACAAAAAAACGGCTGTGTTTATGATGATATACTGACGTATTTCGTGCATACTGGTCGATAAATGTGAAAGAGAAGTCAGTTCTGGCCCGG